TGGCATTAACATTTTTGAGGGTTGTGGGGGATTCATTCATTTTTATATCACTAAAATTACATGATCAAAATTGGGTCGATAGTGCCGTAAAACACCTACTCAATCAATCAAAAAATTCATTTTTCAAAATAATTTTATGGTTTTGGTTTATGACATTTATTTCAAGCTATAATCTGTGTTGCTTTTTTGTCAGCGGATGAACAAAGTTTCTCTCTTCTGTTATCTCTCTTATCTTACTGTAGCAGATGCTCCATCTCTCTTATCTTACTGTAGAGGATGTACCAAGGTCCCATAGGTCCATGCTCAGTATGTCTTGTGTCCTATTTCTGCGCTGGTACTTTAGGGACTTCTTGTGAACCCTCGTCGGGGCAAAAAGCTATCGGGTTACAGAGTAGGTGGCTCACATCGCTCGCCATACATAATGGAAGCAAACTCACATTTGATGTTGACAAATTGTTCACGCTCTCCTTTGGTGCTCCAGAAGGTTCCATCATTGTCGCTTCTGTCGACACTCGGGACGTTCTTGTAGGCAATAGGTTGAAAGCTCGGTTGTTTCCGTGAATGCAATCGGTGGATGTTTCTGTCTGGACGAATTGGAATCAAGTGCTCGTCAATTTTGGGGGCATATTGAATTATTTGTAGACACTTTAAGCCTCATGGTCGTTTGCCTTACTTTTAACGGGAAAATACCCGTGGATCCTAAATGAAACTCGAGATATTTGGGATTGAAGGAGATGGTGGGTGTCGCCTGGTGTCTAATGTAAAAATTAATGGGCCAGAAAATGACAGCCAAAGTTTGGTGACTTTCAAGGCTCAAGTGACCTTGGAATCAATAAATTTACATTAATTATTGTTGATCAACACTTGAGCAGCATTCATATAGAAGATATAGAAGTGTGTATTCGAATCGAACTAAAAGGGGCCGAGTAAAAAATAACACAAAAACAATAAAAAACAACAACACCAAAACAACACCAAAACAACACCACCACCGCCAACAACAACAACAGCACTACCAACAACAAAAAACCCAAAACAATAAACGTTCAATTTTATAAAGACTTTCCCAACTCATGGAAAATATGTTGCTTTCTGCATTTTCATTACCTGAACGAGGGTCTGATTTTACAACAATGACGCATAATACTTAATTGCTTTGACCATCGTCAAATGTATCACTTACCACCAATGTGTGAATCTTTATTCCTCTCGTACGATCATGTCTATCCCTTTTTTTGTCACGTGTCTCTATTTTGGTGCCAATAATATTAATTTATCAGTTGCAAAAAACTAATAATATGCCAACAAGGTACACTTTGTTATGCTTCGAGGAAAAAAAATGGGGATATGAAGACGATCGTGATGATGATAATGGTGATGATTGTGTCTGTCTGATGTCTATATCAGCCTGTGAGTGTTCTTGAAAAGTCTCAATAATGTCTCTCTTCACGATACCCCATTACAGTCCCTCTCTGTGTCTGTCTGTCTGTCTGTCTGTCTGTCTGTCTGTCTGTGTGTCTGTCTGTCTGTCTGTCTGTCTCACTCTCTCTCTCTCTCTCTCTCTCTCTCTCCCTCTCTCTCTCTCTTTCTCTCTCTCTCTCCCTCTTTTACTCTCATAGGGCTTCTTTAGGTATTACATAATTCAATATTGTTGTTTTCCCTTTTTAAAATGCCCTATAGCGCGGTAAAAAATTCGTGGCGCAACATATCCTCAAATATATCTTCATCAAGTGAACCAATGTCATCCATACGCAGCACAGCTGACAGGTGTTAACAAAATATAGATATGTCAAGACAAATTGACATAAGTCAATTTGCTAAAGCTAGAGAGTCTATGTTCGATAGTTCAGGAAATATTTGACAATAAATTGCGCCACAATTTTTTTACCTCACCAAAATGTTTACCCATGCTAAAAACTCACTCACAGTTGTTGTTTTTTTTCTTTTTCCCCTCTCCAGTTGGTGGACGTCGGTATGAACCGGGATAACTATCACTACCTGTTGTCTGGTCCGGTGAGTAACCGTTGTCACGTCACCTGTTTCTTTTTGGATGTTTAGGATAATGATGATGATAATCATGATGCTTAACCCTGTCCGTTCGTCGTATTTTATAATCGTATCCATACAACGTGGGGAACTCTGTGCCATCACTTTCAAAAGAGGGAATTTAGTAAAAAATAATATTAATAATTTGCATTTATATAGCGCATTTCCACAAAGAAGTGCTCAATGCGCTGTACAATAATACAAAGAACATATGAAGCCCACAACTCAGTAATCCTCTTTCTCTCTCTCTCTCTCACTCCGTCTCGGTCTCTGTCTCTGTCTCTGTCTCTGTTCTCTCTCTCTCTCTCTCTCTCTCTCTCTCT